GCTAGCATACTAGGTGATCTTTGTGAATTGGTTGCTTGATCTTAATCTGTAGGAGTTTTCTGTTTGTTTGTTTTCTGGTGCCCAGGATCAAACTAGGGCCCTTGAGTTTGCAAGGCAGGTGGCAGAACCACTGAGCCAATTCCCCAGCCCTTGTAGGAGTTTTATATGTAAAATTGGGAAAATTTTCCTCCAGGGAGGGTTTCATTTCTGCTGTAGGCAGTGGTTACCAGTAACCAAGACCCCCCAATCCCATTCTGAGCATTGCAGCTCAAAGTAGGGAATTTCAGCTTTAGTTAGTTTACCTCACCCCTGGCCTAAGAGCCAATCTACTCTTTGACAATTACAGCTCCTTGGGAGAAATCAGTCAAGTCTTGGGGCCAAAGGAGATGACAGCTGCTGCGTTTTCCCCTTCCCTAGAAGGAGGTCAGTTTCCTCTCTCTTGATGTGACTGCTGTCATCCATTGGGACAAATTGTCTTCAGCGCACATTTGTTGGTATCACACACCAGGTTATGCCCAGAGTAGCCCCCTCCATGCTGCCTGTCCCTCTCACCTCAGTTCACATTTTCTTGCGCGAAAGGTTTTTTTTTTTTTTTTTTTTTTTTTTTTTTTTGTACTTGGGATCAAACTCATCAAGGCAGGTGAGGTGCCACTGAGCTAAAGCCCCAGCCCAAAATGGTATGTTTTTAAAGACTCCTTTTTGTGAGAACAGCAACACCTCAACATACACATTTTCTTTTCTTTTTTTGGTATCGCAGATTGAACTCTGGTGTTTGTGCTCGTGAGGGAGGTGGCAGAACCACTATATAGTGTTGATTGCTTTCAACAATCCTCTGAGCATGTTGTGCCATAACGCTGGACATGGGAGTCCTCCAGAGTCATGTCACTGGTAATCCTGGCTAATAAAACTACTGATATTTGAATATGTTTTCAACGTATGTACCAGGGTTAATTAACAAATGATTATTCATCCTTGTGGATTTGAAGAATGTCATGAATGTAGAGAGGCTGGAATAGACTGTGCCAATCCCTTTCCACAGATCTGTCCAAATATCACTGTTTCTGATCATTTCTATTTCTAGTCCTCCCTTCCTTCACACCATAAACACAAAGATCAGGGTTATCACCCAAATGTATATCAAATGATGAGTGGATAAAGATGGGTTTTTTTTAATGCAATGAATACTACTCTGTCATAAAGGATGAGCTTCAGACATTTATAACTAAATGGATGGGCCCCGAGACCATACTCAATAATAAATAATAATAAATCAGACACATATGTTTAAATACTGCATTGTTTCTCTGGTGAGAAAACTGAATGTGGAAATAAGTACTGAGATGTATAATGGATGTTGGGAAATGGGAAGAAAGGTGTTCAAATAGGAAAGGGAAGAGAGAGAGAAAGGAAGGAAATGACAAGAAAAAAAGTGAAAATAGAAAGGAAAAAATACAAAGCTTTTGTACATAGGGAGGGAGATGGCTTGAGGGCAAATGGGATAAAATAAAATTTATTTAAAAAAGATCAGGGTTATCATAATGTTTAGTTTATGACGCTCTTGTCATTGGTCCATGCTTTATTGTAATGTGTAATACTAAGTAAGCATTCCTGAACACACTATTTCAAACAAAAACTGAAACTTTGCGAACATCACACAGCTCTTCCTCTCCCGTTTCTATCTTGTGCATCTGAGGTAAGCATCTGAAACCCATGCTTATCACCCACTGGCTTTCCTTTTTATGCAGTTTTACTGCACCTATACTTTTTAAACTGACAAAGGCTTTGTGTTGTGTGTAATCCTCTGGAGTTTGTTCTGTTCACTTCATTTTTACAAGTTCAGTGGTCTCTTGGTTCGAGAAATTCTTTTCAAAGGTCCCATGATTTTATCCTTTTACTCATCCTATAGAGAGACTTCTGCTTGCTCGGGGTTGACATACAATCGATTGATTTGGAATCTGCAGGTCCTGGAGGATCAAAGGTGGGACAGAAAAATGTGAACTGGAGACTCCATCCTGGAGACTCAGTGGGCTGCGTTGGGCACTGTTACTGCCCTCCTAGCTGTTGTTTTATCTTGTAAGTGGGTGCGATCTCATCACTACACCTCTCTCCACAGCTACACCCCCTACTGGCTACTGGGTGTAGCAGCTCCCATCAGGTACAAGTTGTAGTTGGGTTACTATGATTATGAAGGTTCCTGTACACCCCTAAGCTAGACTTTTCACTTTCCTCCCAGAATACTCTTCAGGGGCTTACAAATAGCCTGCACAGATGGAGATCATAATAATAGTAATAGTCCATCAACTGGAACAGGCTTCTTCATAAACCGTAAATCTAAGACTAATCCTAATTGGTTTCTCAATTTGTAGTTTTAATTCATACCCTGATTCTCACTGTTAGTATTTCTGCAGGAAACAACTTGTTCTAGTTCCTATACCCTCATCTATACTTCAAATTCTGATCCATTTTTCAATTTCTCACCCTTTTCCCACCCTTCTCTCTCATTCCTAGTCAATACTATAAATTGCTATTGTTAGCACTTAGCCATAACATGGAGATAATTTCTCATTATGCATCTTACCATTCATCCTATTCTGCTTTATGAGGTAGTCTATTAATTTTCCCATTTTACAGATGAGAAAATTGAGGCTCAATGAGTTTGACCAAATTCTATTATCTAGTAAAGGTTAAAAAGCTTTAGTAAAGCTTTTAGAATTATTATTATTTTTTGGTACCGGGGATTGAATTTGGGTCCTTGCACTTGTGAGGCAGGTGTCGGGGACACTGAGCTAAATCCCCGGCCCTTAAAATTATTTTGAAACATATTTATTTATTTGCAGTTTTTGAGCTAGGGTCTCACTTTGTAGCTTAGGTTACCCTTGAACTTGCTGTGTAGCTGAGGCTGGCCTCAAATTTACAATCGTACTGCCTCAGCCTCCTGAGTGCTGGAATTATAGGTAAATGCCACCATCCCAGGCTTTTTTTGGTGGGGTTGGGTACCAGGGATTGAACTCAGGACCTTGGCTTGCAAGGCAGGTGTGGTGCTGCTGAGTTAAATCTACCCCCTGCTTTTTTTAATGGTTAAGATTATGACACCTTTGGCTCTAAATAAAACTTAAGGTGGTCTTAACAATGATGACAGTTAAAGGTTAATTTTGTGGTTCTACCAGTACTATGGAACCCCCAGGCCTGTCTGTTATAGTAGCCATCCTTGATGTAGTCAGGATTTGTTCCCAGGTTAGCCTTCTGCAAGGCTTTAAGATGATCGTGAAGTTCCATTATCATAGTATTAATGTCTACAGGTAAGAACAGACATAATTTCCTCCTGTGCATGCCTTTTTAGGAGCAAACCGACTTTTCCCAGGGCTCTCCCCACGGCAGCATACTTCTCATGTTGTCCAGAATACCAGAAGCCTACGCCTAGCCAGTTGTTGGCAAAGAAATGGGATTTGTATGTTGGGCCCATTCTAATCAAGCCTCATTTCTGGGGCTGGATCTCCACACCCTGCTACACAATTCCTGGCTGAGGAACAAAATTAGGAAGGGAAATGGGAGTTGGGAATAGGAAGTTGTCAGAGACTGCAACCAACAGTGTCTGTTACAGAATCTGAAGCCTGGGTCTGAAGCCTTGACACACTACTGCTATTCTGGGCTCTCCCCTCAGCTGACACCCTCACTGGCAGATTCCTTTACCTGTGAGCCAAGTCTCCCAAACTCTAAGTGACACACACCATAGCCATCAAGAACAGTGAGAGCCATGAAATGTGCTTCTGGAGGCCCGTTGCTCTTGCACGATGCTCCTGAGATATCAGTGCTGTGTTTGGTCAGCACAGGCATTGTCACAGCCTGGAAGTGGGAAGGAGTCAGAAGAGTGGCCAGCCTGGCCCTGCCTCATCCCAGAGCTGAGTTCTCTCTCTGAGAGAAGCTGTTCCTTTTCTCTCTGAGATCTGCTCCTCCTGGTCTGTACTTTTCCTTCTCTTAGAATTTGGATTGTTTCTTCACAGAGCCTAACTGGCTCCTTGGTCTTACACCCCAACTTAGTCCTCTTATCTCCTTCTCTTGAACTCATACAATAAGAAAATCCACATTTACCTAATAACAACTCACTGATCTCCTGTGTTAGAAGAGACACTGTTATACAGTAAGGCAGGGAATTCAGTTTTAGTAGCTGTGTGCTAGGGTTCTTTCATACACACTAGCTTACTTTATCCTTAGAATACCTCAGTAGGTTAGCTTATTTTAACCTGCATGTTATAGTTTAAAGCCAGGCATGGTGGCACACACCTGTAATCCCAGCACATGGGAGGCTGAGGCAGGATTGCGGAGAGTCTGAGGCCAGCCTAGGCTACACATAGTGAGCTCAAGGTCAGCCTGAACCACAAAGTGAGACCCTGTCTCAAACAACATCAAAAACAAACAAAAATCCCTAAAACATATTATAACTTAAGGGATTCAGGTTCAGAAGTCACGTCACCTAGGTCACCAAGGCTGCAAGCTATCACGCTCCTGTGCCTGCCTAGCTGCACATTCCTACCCCGCCATTCTGGCTTCATAGTCCACAGGGATGTATAGACATCAATTTGGGTCTCACAGTAGAAGCAGGGTGAGTAGCACAATCTGCGTTTGCAAGAGGACAGAACTGTCAGACTTGCGCAAAGGCCCTTGGAACTTAGTTTTTCTGACTGCCACATAGCAAGTGTTCTGCTACGTTCAATGTGCTGAGTGGATGATTCAGATTATAGCAGGCACTCAACAATCCATTAAATTATATTACTGAAAATAAATGTTACTACCTAGAGGTCTCTAGTTGCCTTTTTTTTTCTGGCACCTCCCCTCTGGGTTTTTCTCAGAGACCTTCTTTCCCCAGAAGCTCCCGCGTCTTCCACAAAGACTCACAAGGGCACAATATCCACACTTCAGTTTCAGTCAGTCAAGAGTCTTCTTAGCTAGAGTTGAACGGTCAGCAGGTGTGTGCCTTCCCACCTTGGGGGTTTCTTCCCCCTGGAGTGGGGAGGCTGTGCTTCTTTTCCTTGCCTCAGATGGCAGGGTGGTGTTTGTCCCTGGACAGACACATCAGCCAAGTCTTTTCTCTCCTGCTCTGTGGGTTTTGGCCCCAGCAGTCATCACATTGCCTCCCCTCCTCTCTCCACTCTTGGCCCTGCCTCCTTCCTCTGCCTTCACAACCCTGGACACAGTACACACAGCTCAGAGGCTCGGCTAGAAGGGAAACAGAAGGAGCTGCCTGGGTTCCCATGGCCATGGCCAGCACCTGCACACCGGGACTCAACCCTCAGAATACTCATTATATCCCAGGGTAAGATTTCTACCCAGAGCACTCCCCGCTGGCTTTGGGGAACATGGCTGTAGGGATACAGTTGGGTCACTGAGGCCTTGGAGTCAAGTGGAAACATTGCTTTGAGAGACCCAGGACTCGGATATGTATTATGTTGGCAAGGGAAAAGGAAAGGCAAGGGAATCATGATGGCTGGGTCTGTCACAAAGCTTGTGTTGTCTTCTCCATGGGAACCAGGCAACAGTGAAAAGGAAGAACTGAAAGTTCAGGCAGACGAGTTAGAAATGGCTGTTGCAAATATATGTACCACTGAGTTTAGAAAGATCAGCTTTGGAGGCCTCACTTCTGTCTCTGGGGAAGGTGGGATTCTGGAAGTAAGTGGGTATGTCCTATGCTACAGGTATACCGGACACTGTCCACTGCTTCGGTTCAGCATGGGCCAGACCTACAGTCAGGTGACTGGTCAGCTACTTCAAGGCCCTCCTGGCCTGGCCTGGCCACCTACCCACCGCACACTTCTGCCTCCCATCCGGCCTCCAAGATCTCCTGAGCTTTCTAGGCGGAGCCTACCCACTAGGTGCAGGCACAGAAGGCTGGGTTCCACCATGATCCCTGGGTATACAGGTATGAACAGGCACCCCCAACGCAGAGTGTGTGTCCCAAACACTAACGTATCTTTCTTGCCTCTGTCTGCCAGGCTTTGTACCCCAGGCACAGTTCATCTTTGCCAAGAACTGCAGCCAGGTCTGGGCTGAGGCTCTGAACGATTTTACTCCGTGGCACGGGGAACAAGGGAGTCAAGAACTGCCACAGGAAGCCAAGGGAGACAAAGACAAAGAGCCAAAGTCAGAGTCAGAGTTGGCAGTGGAAGGGGAGACAGAGCTGAAGCTGGAGGTGGAACAAATGAAAACAAAGGCAGGTGGAGCGGGGGGTGGATGGGAGTGGGGAGCCTTACCTTCAAGTGTCCAAGCCTGGGGCCGGCCATGGGCAGGGTGGCTATGGGTATGGGGGACCTGTTTTAGAGCTTGATCACCCTATTTTCCTCACAGGTTTTACCCTATTCCATGGATGACACAGACCCCCAGAAGTTCTTCATGTCAGGTGAGAGGTGGGGGTGAGCAAAGGCATGGAGAGCCCCCTCCCCCATCTCCTGATTCTGCATCCCCATCCGCCAGGCTTCACTGGCTATGTGCCCGGTGCCCGCTTCCTCTTTGGCTCCAGCTTTCCTGTGCTCACCAACCAGGCACTGCAGGAATTTGGGCAGAAGTACTCCAAGGGCAATGCCCAGCAAGACCCCAAACCTTTCCCCCTACTTCCCAGGACCTACCTTCAGAACCTGGGTCTCCTACCTCACTATGGGGGCTATGTGCCAGGTGAGGAGGCTGCGGGAGGCTTTGGGAACTGGAATGCTTATGTGTAAATGGGGTATGGGAGTGGTCTGGGGCACTGCAACAAATAGATGTGAGGGGATCTCAGACCACGTGATTCCTTCAACTTCATCAGGACACAGAAGAGGAAGCTGAAGTAGTGGTTAGATGAGATTTTGGATGGAGGGGCTAGGCAACTGGCTGAGAACTAAATAGCTTTTTCATGCCACCGGCTACACGTGACAGACTCTCTTGGTCACACAGGGTATAAGTTCCAGTTTGGCCACACATTTGGGCATCTCACCCACGATGCTTTGGGCCTGAGCAGCTCCCAAAAACAGCTCCTGGTTTAGGTACCTGGTCTTCAAGGTCTTTCCTTTTCACCCTATCCCAGCCATCTCTTGGAAGGGAGAGGTGGGCATGAGGGTGATAGTGGGGGCAAAAAGAAAATGGTTTGGAGGCTGAGCACCTTTTTTATTAATAGGTATAATAAATAAATAAATACATACATAAACAGAAGCCTGGGCTCCTTCTCCCTCTTCTGATGACCAGGCACTGGTCACAGCCTATTTACAGTTTGCGGGGGCTTCAAGATCTGGCCCCAGTACTGTTATCCATCCTCATTACTATCTGGCCTGGGAACCCTACAAATGGTGTTCTGGGCTACCTCCCTCTGTAGGGACTTGGTGCTCTACACCCATGGAAGGGGTGGCCCAGATGGGCCGGGGACATCCTGGCAGCCCAGCGATACATCCCTTCCCCCCTCCCTTGGGTGGAGGTCTGGCACGGTCACTGGGACAGTTAAGGGGAGTAATTAATACTGAGCACAGGGAGCAGGTGCCAGCACAGGGATATGTGGCCCCAGCTCTCAGTCAACTTTACACAGCCAAGCCAGAGGGCTTGGGAAGGGTTCTAGGCTCTCTGTCTGGGGTTATGAGGGTCCCTGAGGCCACCAGCATGCACAGGGCCTCAGTTTTGGCTGCTTCCAGGGGTTGGACTTGGAGTTGGGGTCAATGTCACATAGGCCAGGGGCACCAAGCCAGTGTCAGGGCCGCGGCTGCAGCGCAGCCAGTCTCCTCCGGCTGGCCCCAGCACCCGTAGGATGTCTCCCTTGTGGAAGCTCAGCTGTCCAGGGCCTGTGGCCAGATGGTGGCACAGTGCCTGCACCTCACTGGAGAAACAACAAATGGAGGTCAGAGAAAGCACATCAAAAGCTAAACCCAGCTCCCCATTCTCCTGTTTCCCGAGGCTCACCATGGAGGCTGGGAAGGCAGGGCTGGAGAGTGTGGTTCCTGCAGGCTCTCCTTGGGCTCTGGCTCCCGGCGGGCACCCACTGTCTGCGCCACTAACTGGAACATGGACTTGTCCAAACTCAGCCATTCCGAGGGTAGCCTAGGAGACAGAAGCTGGGCTCTGTCCACACTGCAGTTTAGATTAGGCTCCCCTACTCCCCCTATCTACAACGTGGTGGGACTCTCACCTGTTTGTGGGCCGGGCATCCCGCTGAGCTTTTCGGGAACCAAAGAGGTGTCCCCACTTGATGCCCCCAGGTGACGGCTCAGAGGTACCTTCCCCATTTTCCGCAGGTGGGGCAGTAGGCCCCTCCCGCTCCCGACTGCGCTTCAGCTCGGCCAGCACCGAGTCAGGAGGGCTCCCCATCCAGAAGGGCCAGCCCCTCTCCCGGCTGAGGGCCTCCTCGGGGGCAGGGCAGGCCTCAGCCCCCTCCACTACTCCCTCTCGTGGGGGTGGAGCCTGGAGGGGCCCCCCGCCTCCCGCCCCTTTCTTTTTCTCACTGCCACTTCCACTGCTGCTGCTGCTACTTCGGGGGAACCTGGAACCCTCTGTGGAGCCGTCGATGTAGACCTGGGAGCTCTGCATGAGCTGATACCACCAGCCAGCCTGCCCGCTTCGAGCCCACCTGCCATGTCCCAAACCCCCTGCTGGCTCCGCCACCTCTTCCGACTCTTCCTCTTCTCCACCTTCTGGGGCACCTACACCCTTCACCCGCTCTCCATGAGTTGTCCTGTCCATGTCTCCAGGGCCCTCCTGGCCCCGGGCTCGGGCCAATTGCAGTGTGGAGTGAGCAGACAACAGCAGGTCCTGGGACACTCGCAGTAGTTCCTTGTGCTGCCGCTGTTGCTGACCACTTTGCAGCAGCCGATGCTGGAACAGCAAGTCGAGGCTGAAGGGCAGCAAGGCCAGGGGCTGTAGCAGCAGCAGCAGCTCCTCAAAGAGGCCGGGGCATACGGTGTGAGCTGCACTTAGGAAGCCCCAAGGCTGGTAGTGGGTCTGGACGATGTCTAGGGGAAAGAGAGACACTGAGTCACACAGAGAAGCAGGCCTGGCCCGAGTGATGCAAAGAAAGGCAGTGGATGAGCCCCTGGGTGCGGCTGCCCAGGCTGTGCATTGTGCAATTTAGACGTGCTCCTGCAGTTGGGCAGTGCACAAACCCTACTACCCTCAGTGATAGCTCTGCACGTAGGGAAAGGTGTTGGGGCTCTTGACACCCCAGCTTCCAGACTGCCTGAGTCCCCTGCTTTCTCCTAGGTTCTAATTCAAATAGAAGCTGGGAAGGACTTGGGTAGAAGTCCAAATTTCTCAGAATGAAAGATGTGTGGCCCCCTTACCACCTCTAAAATCTGAAAAGACTGATTCCTCCCTCTTTTGAGCCTCTGAGGTCTATATTGAGTTTGTGAGACACAGTGGGTTCTGGGCATTACCTTCATGGTTAAACAGGTGATTAAACCAGAACTCCAAGGACCGAATGCTGCAGGGAAATAGGTAAACGAGAGTTGAGTTTTGTCTGGAGATAGCCAGATAATAAGGCACAAAGAAAACAACGCACAGGGTCAGACACAGGGAAGAAGTACAGGCGGACATCTTCACTTCACAGAATACAATTCTGGAACGTCAGTGACAATGTGGGCAGTGGGGTGAACACGTGATCTAAAAGCCAATCACTTTTGCAGAATGCAGTCAGCTTGCACAAGACCCAAGAAGTCAGGTAGCTACTGAGTGAAAGGACCAAAGGGGCTCAGTGGCTGACCTGGGCCCATACTTGAGAAAGAACACTACACCGTGGACAACTTAGTGTTCCAGCATGATTTGGAAGCAGAGCTGGAGTTGAGAGGATCAGGGATCACAAGAGAAACCGAGAAACCCAATTAATTTCCAAATAAGCCAGGTTATGGAAGACCAGGCTGGTGAAGACCATGTTGATGATCAGCACCAGAGGGATGCGGGTGTAGAGGGAAATGGCTTCTATTGAGAGGCTGCAGTCAGGTGGGGAGAAAGTGAGCCTGCACCCTAGCACAAACCCTGAATCTGCTGACTGTCTCTGTCAGGCAGCTGCTTCCTTAGAGCGGGCAGAGCCCGGTGGTGCGGGGTGCTGTTCAGGAGCTCTTGCTGCTCCACACACTCACTTGAGCAGGCCGAGGATGAAGGCATTGAAGCGCATGGTATGACTGGTGAGCTCTGGGAACTGGCTGACTTTGTTGTAGAGGCCATGCAGGACCTTGGTGGATGGGCCTGGGAAGAAGACAGGGTTATAGATCACATGACCAACTTCTGGAACCCTGAAGTCAGTCTGGGGTCCGTATCTCGCCACCCAGCCCTTACCCAGCTGTGTGGAAGCTTCAACCACACTCCACGGCATGTTCTTGCGTTGCCCAATGATGACATCTAGTACAAAAGCCTTGAGTCCATCCTCCAGCACGGCCTGGACCGCAGGGCACAAGTACTTGAGAACAAGGTGGCCAACGTTCGGACTCACAGAACTGTTTCCCAGCTTTGCCTGCAGGTGCAGTAGGGCAGTTCAGAAAATCTTGGGAAGCCTCACTTTGGTTCTCTTCTAGACAGTCCTATTTCCCCTCTTGCTACGCCACCCGAGTTCCAACTCCGGGCTCTAAGTTCAAGAGCACAGGGGAAGGTGGCAGCACCCAACAGTGAGGGTCCACTGGGCAAGGCTCAGCTCTGCACATTTTCTTGCCTACCTTTACCCCAGGATCCCGGCTTGTACCAAAATGGGCTACAATGAGGTCCACAGCAGTATTGACAGCTTTTATCAGTCCTGCAAAGAAGAATTTGATGTGACAGTCCCCTGTGCAAGTCCCTCGTTGGGAACAGGGAAGTGCTCCCACACTTACTTGCAATCTGCACCTATGTCCCCAGGTCTCATGGAGACATGCAGGCCTGGCCTTCTTCTGTCTGTGCCACTTCACACTCACTCCTGTCTTTACCTCTTAGCCTGGACCCACCTCAGTGCTACCATTGTCAAGGCCCTTTACTTCCTCACTCCCTAGCACTGGTATTCTAATCCTGGGCAAATCCAACCGTCAGACTTCTCTGCTTTGAGAAACTAGGCCACTGATCACTGTTGGGGAAAAACCAGGTCCCTCACAGTGGTGCCAGACAAGGGTGACTCGCTGGCATGTGCCTTGCCAGCACTCTCTGCTACACAGTCAGGCTGTCATTCTGAAGTTTCACCCTTCTTCCCAAGCCCTTGGTTCCACTTTGTACAGAGAACACAGGCCACTGGCCAAGAGCTCCATCAGTTTCCTCTCTCTCCCAAACCCTCAACAATATTATATTTATACTGCTCCCTCCTTGTTGCCTTCCTTCTCATTTCTGCCTCATTTTGGAGGAAGGTAGGTATTTATCTTCTTGCCCAAGGTCCTTTCCTTCCCTCTTCTTTTTGTGGTGTGTTATACTGATCTTGTCATAAATTATCTAGTTTGAGGTTGGTATATTTATTGAAGTTGCATATTAGACTTTCTCTGGTTCCTTTACAATGTTAGTAGACATGTATAAGAAAAAAGATATATTGGACCTATGAAACAAGTTTATGGTGGTTCAGATTCATCTGCTGCAATATTTAAGTTCTTGAGGACAGAGAAGTCTTCATAGCCTGACTCTTAGTAGGCAATCTTCAGTAAATAGTAAACATTTGGGGAGAGTACTTTTTAGATAACAGCAGGATGCAGTTAAGACTTGCCTTTATTTTATTTATTTTTTATTTTTGTGAGACAGGGTCTCGCTATGTAGTTCAGACTGACCCGGAACTTACTATGCAGCCCAAGTTGGCCTCCAACTCACAGCAGCCTCCTGAGGACTGGGATTACAAGTGTGTGCCACCACGCCCGGCAGGCTTGCCTTTAATAACAGATCTGCTCCTCTGATGAAGCCATAGACACAGGATAAGGTAAAGGTCTAATGTCATAGGTATTGGAGGTAGGAAGACCAGCTGTTATTTTTCCATCCCTGAACTTCTGAGAAGTCTTTAATGAACTAGGATGCTAAGACTTTTTGTCTCTGGAATGTAGAACTAATTTGTAGATGATCAGGTCCATAATGGGCTGCTTCAAGGCAGGATGGCATGGCAGAGGAGAGCTGCTCCTGTTGTGGCAGCCTCTTCCCTCTTCTTAAACTCTGACTCTCACTATCTGTGCAGGGAACTTCAA